TATTTTATCTGTTTCCATTTAAATATCCAAAAAGCACAATTGTATCTTATCCCAAATTCTCAGCCATTGTTAGTTGCAATTACTAGTGGAGTTTCTTTTTCCACTTGTTTCATGATTTGGTTTTTTGCAACAGTTGTTTTCCTGCCCAACTATGGCAGGGTTTTTTTAATGTTATTGTCCTACATCTTTATTTGTTTGTATAACAGTATGTTTGGTTTAAACTTAAAGAAAAGCAAGTACAAAACTTATTTTGTTGTGATCATATAGTAATAAACATATTATTTTTAAAGCAAATATTGCCAACAGCAAAAGACAGATTAGCTACACATACTAGAAGCACATTGAGATCTATCAGTGCACACAACATAATACTATGTGACTATTCAAATCAATATAGTTTTTCTCTTACAAAGTTTGCTGTATTTTGAGATGCACTTCCCAGAAGTGTAACATCATCCAGCATTTACACTGAATGCTTGTAAAAGAACAGGGGAGCGGAAATAGCTTCTGCATTTACATTTTATTGATTAAGGGTCAATATCCCCCTTGTAAAGCAGAAACAATTATAAACTTAGAAACTAGAAAACTGAATATGATCAATGTGAAAGCTTATAGGCCAGTGTTGTCAAATTGGCAGGCCTTAAATTGGATGCCCAAATGAAAAGTTCCTGGGCCCAAGGAGCAGAATGCTCCCCACTAGGTGCATCTACATGTGCAACTAATCCAAAGCAACAAACTCCAGAGTTTATTGCCTGGAGTTTATTGCTCCCTGGCGCTCTGTTTGAACCTGCCCTGGGAACAATAATCACCAGGGTTTATTGCATCTGAACGTGCACCCAGGACCATAGCACATTGAGCTGGGTTGAAGCAACTCCAGCTGCCAGGGGATCCGAGGGGTCAGCCTGCCAGCACAGCCCCGCTCCCCCATCTCCATGTGTTGTAGAGGGCTGGCTGGGGCATAAGGGTGCTTCAAGGTGGGGCTAGCCAGCAGGCAGCCCCAGCACTGAAGCACTCTCTTATCCCAGTCAGCCAGGGCAGCTTCTGCACGTGTGCTGCTGTGGAGTTTTTTACTCCACAACAGGATAGTACTTGTATTTACAAGTACTAGCCTATCGAAGAGCTAATAAGTTTACTCCAGCCTAATAGGGGTGCATATGTAGACACTGAGACATTTACTATGCAGCTAATTAGTCTACTGCTCAGTAAACGTCTTGCGTAGGTGCACTGTTCACCAATATCTATGAGAAGGGCCATCCCTGGTGGGGGGCAAATCGGGGAGACTGCCCTGAGCCCTGTGCTTTGTGGGGCCCTGCAGGGCCGGGCAGAGTGGCTGTGGTGACTCTGCGCCACTGCCACTGGCTTTGCATCTGGCTGCTCCCTTCCCCTACACCCCCCCCGGCTTCTTCACATCCAGGGTGCGTGGATCAGGGCAGGGCCCTGCACAAGCAGATTTGCCACAGATCCCCCACCCTGCTTGGGTTGGCTCTGCCCGTTAGAGTTTTGAATGCTTGGAATATCTGAAAATAAGTTATCTTTTATTTCGGTGTTAAAATGGGGATTAACTTTATGTTTAGACTGCCATATTCAAAAACTTTTGACCAGTCTTTCTCTTGAGGGACTGATAAAAAGAGGATTTTTGTAATGTAAGAACTAAATGCCATTCTTTGTTACAAAACAAATGTTTACCAGTGCTAACACTGAAGATTATTTAAAAAATGAACAAATTTGCTTTTCACTACATATGCTATTTGTTTCCTTTTTGCTTTTGATCTAAGTCAATAAAACTAACCTAGACAGTTTCATTTTCTGGGGTTAGGAGAAAATGCTGACTTTGTTTTACTTTATAATGAGTGAGCACTTAACCCCCCTGTGGCAAAGCTTTTCTACATTAATGTTCCTTTTCCTATTGTGCCACCAGTTTCCTGTGTGATCTTGGGCACATTATTTAATTTTTTCGATCCTTTGTTTTCTCATCTGCAAAATGTGAACGATTGTTTACCTGTTAGATGTAATGTGAAGCTCATAATACTTTGCTTAGGTATGTAGTGCTATAGAACTGAAAAACTGTAGTATTAGTAGCAGTATTTATTATTATATATTTCAATTACACACAAAAAATAATGATGAAGTTTCATGGTTTCAAAGTCCAACATCAAGGAGTTAGAATTAAAGTTGTCTATGCACCCTTACTTTGACGCCTTGTGTACATCTGCAGCATGATGCAATCAGTCCTTAATTACATGGTAACATGCTAGTTTTCCACAAGAACCCTACCTCATTTGGTAAACAGAATGGATGGAACTCATTTCAAATGACCGGGGTTACACATATACATATACATATACATATATGTATGTATGTACACACACACACACACACACACACACACACACACACACCAGAGCTGTGAGGTATTGGAACATGCTCAATGAGGATGGAATCTTCAGAAATGTTAGCTGCTAAATTTTAAATCTCTTAATGGCATGTGCAAACTGGGATTTTTGAAAGCTTACAACTTGTCCAAATATAAGTATATTTTCAGAGAAAGAGTAAAACGTACATCCCTGTCAAATGTCAAGACCCTGCTTCAAATATGCAGACCGCAGCTTCTTCACCCAAAGGTTACCAGAATATTTTAATGCAGCCAAAACAATCCACCTTTATTTTGCCTCATTCTCAGAAATTACGGAACCATTTTAGCTGAAATTTAAAAAAATTAAAATAACAAAAAACAACCCTAAAACAGAAACCTGGCATGAAAAATTTCAGCCCAAACATCAAAGTTCAGCAAGGAGCCAAAAAGAAACTTACAGGAAATATCTGGTGTCTTAATGATAGCATGCTACCAGCCCTGACTATAGTAAGGAAAGAAAAGCAGCTCCTAACCTTGTCTAGTCTAGAACATTTTGTGGTGCAAGTACATACTACACCTGTCAGATGCATCATTCAAACACACTGCATTTTTTACAGTCATGCACAAGTGCTGGAAGCAACATGGCAGTCCTGGTAGAAAAGCTTATAATTTTTGTATCTTGCATTGCATCACTGCTCTTGCAGCACTAGTGTTGATTTTCCAGCTGCAATGTCACCTATACTCAGGACAGCTGTCTAATTTTGAGCTGTTGTAGCTTTTGTGATCCCATGCATATGGTTTTTTTTCTGCTTGGGTAGGATGTAGTGCAGGCCCCTTTTCAGGGTGTGTGCTGGAAATTTTGGAGTAGTGTATTCAAAGGACATTTGGTGCCTGGGTATGTTGACCAGGCTTACGTTAGATAGAAGGCTACTGTGGATGCACTAAACTTATTGAACTCTGTAGTGTGGACAAGGCTAATGTGTCAATAATACTGTCATTCATTAACTATGTTGAGAGACTTTTTTTTATTAATGTGCTGCAGAGAAACACATACAAATCACTGTAGGCCTAGATGAGTTTTCATTTATTATAAATACAATGTTTGTAGATTTTACTTTTAGGGATAAAATATATTAAATCTCCCAATATTCTAATGAGCTTCATTGTTAAACCAAGTTGCTACTGAGTTCTATGAATCTACTCAGAAAAGATGATTTAAATGTGAGTACAGTTCATATTATAATTCCTAAAGAACAGTAATCATCTCAGTCCTGTAAGTTGAAATTTCAGCATATGGGTACACCTTCTTTTATTTTCTTTCAGAAGTCTTCCTAAGACTTGATTATATTTTCAAATACTGGCTAACTGGTCTGTAGGAGACCCATTACATTGGTGGCCCAGTTATATCTGCTGTGATTCTTAAACAAATTAATCTGTAGCAAAAGAGCATCCTGCTAATTATCTGTATCAAACAAATAATAAAAGGAAATTGCCCACGGCCTGAAACAGACCTCTAAGACTTTGTTCTGATAATGTCTGCTCTATTGAGAGCTTCACAGCAGTCTGTTAGATAGTCAGTAAAACCTGTTGCATATGACTGGATAATATTTAGTTGCTTTAAATTTTCACATTGTTAATGGGATGTTTGTCAATCTCTCTCTTCCATTTAGAAGCTAAAAATGAACTGGCTTCACAATATGATTTGCCACCTGAATGCATATCCAGGGCCACAGGAGGGAAGGGGTGACTAAGCTAAACCAGAAGGATGATGGAGCCTAACAGGGCAGAGAGAATGCACGTGGTCCTTCCTCCAGGTCTTCTAACCTTTCCCAGGTAAGGTACCGATCCCAGATAGCCTTTCTTCAAGGTGAGAAAGACTGCCATAGATAGCATAAAGCTAGTGTGGCTCCATTGGAGCCAGTAGAAGGCTTCCAGGTTAGAAAAGCAGTACACCAGATCTGCCCAGTTTGGCAGCAGGCACTAACTCTCTATGAGTGAACCATGTGAAAGACCTCCCCAAGGAACGCATAGAAATTTATATCCAAGCAGAAAGCTGTAAAGAGGGATTAAGATGGGAAAGAATAATTAGGCCTAGTGAAGGGGAAAACAAATGCTTTATTTTTCAGTTATCCCGTTTTTTTATTACAAACCCAGCAAGCCATAGCAGGACACAGGTTTTTGACAGGTGAAATATCCAAGCTAGCAAAAGTAACAAATATACCTATTGGTCTGCTTTTCTCTTCATTATGATTGTGTTATTTGTTATAAATTGAAAATATGCTTCTTAATTGGACTCTGTAGTCTGAAAAATATTTCTTCTATATCTCCTTGAAATTCAACTGGACCAGAAAAAAAGCCTGTTGCAACTTCTCAGTATCTTCTCTCACCTGGTATGCTGACATTTCAGTGATGTAGCATGTAAACAATTATAAACAGGTTCATAAGTATTTATGTGATACAGGTAACCTATATTCTTGGAATAAGAGTAGGTGTCCCAATGACTGCAAGAAAGCCACCTCCCCTGAAATTGCACTGGTCTTTGTGACCCATCCTAGGTCTCACAGTTCAAGTTATTCATTGACAAGGCTTTTACAATCACAAGCTTTTACTGAAGCTTTGATAAGACACTCCAGCAGTTAGTGGCAATTGAAGGCAGTCTGCACAGCAGAGACTCTTAACAGGAATGAATGGATTTTCTCCAGCACGAATGAAAGAAATCTGACTTAATACAGATGCTATAAAAGGACATAATGTGTGGCCAAAGACTGAAGAGATCTGTGACTTTTTGGACACTTGTTTTCATACGAACAGTTACTGGACTTGCCGGAGATGGAAGATCTGTGTGGAAAAAAGACCTTAGCCTCAGTCCTGTGAGTGGTACTCAGATGTTTCTATATGACACTTTTCCTAAAGAGTTTCTTTGGGGGGTAGGGACTGGAGCATTCCAGGTGGAAGGCAGCTGGAGAAAAGATGGAAAAGGACCCTCCATATGGGACCACTTCATCCATTCAGAGTTCACAGACGCTGCCAACACAGCTGGCTCCAGTGACAGCTATGCATTTCTGGACAAAGACTTGTCAGCTCTGGATTTCTTGGGGGTTACATTTTATCAGTTTTCAATTTCATGGCCAAGGCTCTTTCCCACTGGAATGGTAGCAACTCCTAATGAAAAAGGACTCCAGTACTATAGCTCTCTAATTAATGCTCTAGTTCACAAAAATATTAAGCCCATAGTTACTCTGTACCACTGGGACTTACCTTTAACACTGCAAGAAAAATACGGGGGATGGAAAAATGAATCACTAATTGAAATCTTCAGTGACTATGCAACCTTTTGTTTCCAGACTTTTGGGGATCGCGTTAAGCATTGGATTACAATCCACAATCCTTATTTAGTTGCTTGGCATGGGTATGGTACAGGTATGCATGCACCTGGAGAGAAAGGGAAAATAGCAGCTGTCTACTCTGTAGGACACAATCTGATCAAGGTACAGTACAACTGGATTTGATTTTAACAACTATGAAAAATAACAGGAGGAACACTAATATGATAGAACAGAACAGATCTAGGACTGGGGAATACTAAGAAGTAATAGTAAGTGTTTAGGAGTCCTTTATCTTCTTTTAGTGTTTGTTTTAAAAGTCTGCAGCCAGTTCAATAACTGTGTTTTAAAAATACCAGTTAACTAATTCAGTTCAGTTACTTTTCACTTGCAAAGCCTGACAACAGTGTTTACCTCCAGTTTGTCATGATTATTTTGCTAGGTTAAAATTTTTTCCATGTTTGTGTATTTGACAAATTCTACCACTAATAGTATCCACATAGAAATATTAACTGCATCCCAGTAAGATCGTATGGAAATTATTTCTTACCAACTGAACTAACGAGATTATCAGTTTTGTTTTGTTGTTGTTATTGCTAAAAAACAAATAGCCTCTGCTTGTATTTAAGAAATTACACTAAGCATGTTCTGTTTTTAGCAGTATCAGTTTTATTATCAGTATTGTTTTACTTAGCAATTGTCTTCCACGATGCTGTGCACACCCTATGGACTCAATGTTGTTCTCAGCTGAGTTCAAAAGATGCAGGCAAAAGCACTGGTTCTAGCATATCACTTGTTTCAGTTTATAGAAATGATAGAAGACACCTATCCATATGTCTTGGGAACTCTTGGTTTTATTTCAAACACTTTCTAAATACAACAGTTTAGAAGAAGAATGAATAATGCTAATATAGTCCTTTTTGTCAGCATTTTTCCAAGTGTGTTATGAAAGAGGTATCATTATCCTGATTCCAATTACAAGCCTACTCCCTCCTCCTCACTTTCTTGCCATTACTATTACAACTTTCCTACATATTATGACTGTTTTTTGTGCAGGAATATGTATACCTAGAAATAGATTTTAATTGCCAAAGCAGCTAACATAGTTTACAATGGAACATTTCTCTTCTTTGGATTTGCTTCTGGATTTTTGGGCTCTCTGAAGCTTTTCTTTACCCAAACCTCCCATTCATTTAAATGTGAGCTTTAGGAGAGAAGGGTCAACAAGAATTAAGCCAGATAGATAGATAGATAGATAGATAGATAGATAGATAGATAGATAGATAGAGTTTCTGTAATATCTCTATATAGCTATATATCTCTATATAGATTTATATCTACATATAGATATAAAATAATATTAATCCAGCTATTTAACTACATACTGTTCATAGCCATTCATTCATTCCTGTCTCTAGATTAGCCTTTGATTAGGAACTATCTTACAGGTTGCTCTGTGCAAGACCAAATATATTACTGGTGCTTAACAAACAACCCCCCCCCCAATAAAATACATGGAAAGAAGGAGGTGTGGGCTGTTCCAGACCCCTTTTTTCCCCAAAGTTTCTGGGTATCTTGGGGTCTAAAATTACTTGGATTGTTGTCAATACCATATTATTTTTTATATATTAGCAAAAACAACATTTAGGGGTTGTGCACTGTCTCTTAAAAAGGACTGGAAGCCAGAGCATCCTTCAAAGGAAGGAGTAACTTAGTTACTGTAGACAAGCTTTGCCTATTTCAGACAGTACTGAGAAATAGATTTTGAATGTTCAATGTCATGCTAGTAAACATTAATATATCCTAGCTAGAGCAGTAGTTTGTTCAAACAGAGCTAACATGTAACTGCCACAAAAAATGGTATTGGTAAAATACAAAACATTCAAAAAACTTAACATTTATTTATACTTGTAAGTAACTATTTGATTATGATGCCCCTAAGGCACAATATAGGTGGAACTCCACAGTGTCATTTGTCAGACACTTTACAGAGTAGAATATTGCTAACTTTATTTATATTTTTTTCCTGTTTGTTATATTGCATTTAAAATCTCAACCTCATCACGTTCATTGCGACTTTTGGCCATTGATTTCAGTGAGGTACAGAATTCATACTTCTAAATGTTTTCAAATAGGGATGAACCACCTATATCCCTGTCTGAGCGTAAAGGATTTCTCTCAATTTTGTCCCCACATTTAACATCCTTCTGATAGGCTGAAGGAAATTGCAGGACATAAGAAGAGCTTGCATTTCGGGGACCTTGACATAATTAGCTGATGATCTCTGTCATGGAGGCAAAATGTAGAAATTGGATAAAGTGAAGGTGGTCAGAGTTTCAGCAAGATGCTTTTTCCATTTGAGTATGTCATTCATTTTTAACAGTACTGTAGTAATTTTGGGGGCATTGTGAAAGAACTACATTTTAAAGAAATATGTGAATGAAGAGAGGGTATTGGCTTGAAGGGACCCCTTTGCGTGTCAGAGATATATGAAAAGTGGACCTACTAGACCACATGGGTGAGGGTTAAGAAACTAAGCTAGGTATGTTAGGAGTAGAGTTTTGCAAAGCCTTGAAAGTGAGCTGAGCCTACATATGAAGAAGTGGCTTATAGTTTGAGTGTCTTGCCTTTGGGGTACCCAACTCAAGACCCTCATTTTTTTTCTGAAAATCAGGCCCCATAAAGTAAGTAACCAAAAATAAAAGGACCTTAACATTAGCAGCAGTTTTTTATTATGCAGCAATAAGATTAATATTGCCAGCCTGTTCACATGACTTAAATTAGGTGGATAGCTTCATAATTAAAAAAATAAACATAAATAGTCATAACTGGAACTGAAAAAATATACAATTCTAAGATAATGGGAAGTAAATTACATCTTACTAATGGCTTCCTAATAAAGAGAATGAAAGTATGAAAATAGCAGCAGCATGTTGCTTACATTCTTTTAAGGACCAGCTTCTGGTACACTTAATTGTCTTCAGTGATACTCTGGTTGATTTGTTGCCTCAGAAAAATTAATGGAACTATTCACAGAGTAAGATGTTATTTAACTTCAGTAATGTTGTCACAGTCTAGCCTTAATGTTATTTAACGTTGCTTTATTCTTCCATGAGAACTTGAATGTAAATTTTATTCCCCTCCACCCCCTAAACAAGAAGTCACAGGAACTGAAATGGTTAGGAATTTTGGATCTGATCCAAAGTCTGTGGAAGTCAGTGAAAAAACAAACAAACATTGATTTCACCATATTTGGGACTAGGCTTCTGGTGACACACCTCAGTAGTAAAACCTCATTTGTAGATAATTTGCTTGAAGATGAAGGAATTGAATTTTCCATTAGAGCCTATGTTCATTAAGTATGTTTAGCAGAAAGACCATGTATGGAAAGCTATGGGTAAACTGACCTGGCCAGTATAGGATTATGTCACAAAGCAACTGAATGGCAGCTCTGGAATCCTCTTATGGATGTATAGTTAATATTTGTATAAAATATATTGGTCCATCTCATAAAGGAGAGTGTTAGTTTTAGTTTCATTTGCCTATGTAGCACTCCACTTTGCAGGAACTAATCATAGTTCACTGAACAGGCATATTTTTATGTGGCAGCTCATTCATATCTGTTGCTGAGTTTCATAGAATGACAGAAATAATTCAACAAACCATAAATCCCACATTGTCTGGACTTTGGATTCTTTTATCTAGTCTCTGAAGGTCCGAAAACCAATGAAGTCTGAGGAAATTTTTCTTCAGTCTAGGTTATAAATATAGCCTTTTTCAATCTGTGGTAGCAAATTTAACAGATGGAAGGTGTGAGAGAAGAAAATAACAGTCAGACGGGGGGCGAGGGGGAGGGGCTGAGGAGAAAGCAAATGAATCATAGAACCAAAATATAAAGTGAAATGCAGCTTAATCTAAATACAGGTAGGGAGTAAGAAAGTTAATTATTCTCCTATTACAAGCAGGATTTTATAAGGAAGTCTGTATGCATCTGTCTTCCTGTTCCCACTGCCAGTTATCATCTCCCTTCTTCCCATAACCATGTGAAATCACCTCTGTGGAAGAATCCATCTCCACAAGTTGGATGGAGGATAGCAGTGGACAAATTCTATTCCACCTATTGGACATTTAAGTGGACTTAGGTGCCTATGTGCAATTCTATTCCACCCTGCTCAAGTCCCTGAAAAACCGTTAATATAGAAGGTAGGTGGGCCCTCCTCGTTGCTGTTTTTTCTGTGTTTCAATCTTAAGGGGCAGATGACAGCATTTTGCAAAAATAGAGGCGTTCATGCAGTCTTTTTTCCACCCTGTTAAAGTCCCTGGATTATACCTAGGTGCCTAAATCCATTTAGATTCCTAATAGAATCTGGTTCCTGGTTTCTACCAGGTTCTTCCTCTCCAACTATACATGGGAAAAGTTGGTTTAGGTTACTGCAGGTGCCATATGTTCTAAAGTATGTTTCTTCCTCTCCACAATTTGGAAGCCCCCTAAGGCAAGAGCCCTACAGTACAGCTCCTATAAGAGTCATGCTCTTCGGGACCTATTGGAAGCAAAGCAGGCTGAGTAGACTTAAAAACAAAACAAAACAAAATAAAGGATTTCCCTAGAAGCAGAGCTCTCGGGTGCGGGGCAGGCGGGTGGGGTGTCCATGAGAATAGAGTTAGAAGGCTACCGTCTTCCTTATTGGGCAAATAGCCCACAGTGAAAGAATTAAAAGGAAATTTCAGTTTGAGAAAGCTTGTGTTTTCGTGGCTCTGCATGGGATACTCCTACAGAAAAGGTAGCAATAGTTGATGGTAATTTTTTAAAACCTGATTCTTCTCCATGTAATTCAATAGAAAATATGTTGTTTAAAGGTCATAAATTGCTGTGAGTGTAACTTAGATAATGGACATGACAGATTGCATGATCATTATCATTAGTGTAATAAGCAGCAGCATCAAATCTCAGTCCACTTGGACAGTTATTGTCAGACAGAAGGGAAGCTGCTTCTTTTTATAGTCAAGCAGACTGCACTTCATAAAAACATCAATGAGTGATACACCTTAGCATAAAAGGAGCCAGGGAAAACACATAGCTGAGACTATACGAAGTGTGCAAAGGAACCATTTAACCATGGTGGTGAGAAATGAGCTGCATGCCAAAAAAGTTGATGGATTTTGTG